CTTTCCCTCTGTCCCTCCCCCTCCCGTTCACTCTCTAAAAATCAATGGGAAAATATCCTCAGGTGAGGATTTACAAAAAACAAAAAGAGTGGAGGGGAGGCAGGACTGGAACCAACCTCGGGTTGAGTCCAGGTCTAATTGCAGGATGAGTGAGAGAGACAAGGGGGCTCCTGTCTCTCCATTTCCTGAGCTGATCACGGCAATGTCCTCCGTGGGTGGCTTGTGAGTATTAAAGTGGGTTCATTCATAGAAAGCACTTCAAACAGCACCCGGCACAGAGTAAGAGCTCAGAGAGGTTGGCAGCTATGACTGATTGCTTCAGTGTGCAGGCAGCGGGCCCATGGAGATGTAAGAAGAGGGCATCTCCCAGGCTCTCTGGGCCCAAAGCCCCAGGTCCCCTCCTTTGGCCTGGCCCACCCACCATCTCCCCCATCTCACACAGCAACCCTTCCTCTCAGGACTCACTGTATTTGGACAGGGTCGCATTTTCCCGTTGGACCTTCAGGTTGGTGGAGTTATAAATGCACTGATCACCTCTAAAGCCAGAGAGAAGAGGGGAGAAAACAGTAAGATAGTCAAGGAGAAGTGAATTGTTACAATCTTGGAGGGAGTCAGGTGGCAATTAGAGTCAGCCCCGCCCCCATTTCCTGGATGAGAAGGCTGAGGCCTGGTGCAGGAGGGCATGCTCAGGGTGTTTGGGCAGCTGGGAGGAGGAGCCAGAAGCTGGGCTGAGCTGGCATGCTTGGGTCATGTGTGAGTCTTACATGGTCATGTACTGTCTGAGCAGTATCGTGTCCTCCGTGTGGTTGGGGGTGAAGTAAAAGAAGCCTGCTTGGATTTTGCTAGCTTCCTTCTTGTACTCGGGGAAGCGGTAAGCCGAGCCGATATAAAACCACTTGCCAGAGATCTGAGGAGAAGCCAGGAGCAGGTGATGGAGACTGAGAGCCTAATCCTTGATAGTCACCTGGGAGGAGACTCGGGCAGATCTTTCCACTTTGCAAATCAGGAGACAGAGGCCCAGCGGAGGAGTGGGGCTGCAGGAGCTCACTGTAGAAACCAGCCTTCACTTACCTGCCCCCCTCACCCCCACTCCCAAACCCCCGCCTCTCCGGCGGCCCCCACCGTCATCTGCCCTGCTGAGGGACTTTGCAAGGAGGCTCTGAGCTTGGAGACAGAGGAAGCCGCTGGAGGCTGCCCTGGTTCTCACCCCAGCGCCCAGGAGAGGCTGACCGCAAGCCCGCAGGGGAAGGGAGTCCAGAGAGGGAGACAGCTCCCATGGCGCCCAGGGCCCAGGCACCCACCTGGTCCAGGGAGGCATTGGTGATGGGCACCGAGAAATTGGGACACGCCGGGCTCTGGGCGTCCAGCAGGGGAAGAAGGCTCAAGACTGCAAGGACCCAGGGCAGCGCCATGGCAAGAGGAGGATGCCGCTAGTGTCCGAGGTACTGGTGGCTGAGGGGTGGGGGAGGGGGGGAGGAGGTGGGGGAAGGCAAACATGGATTCAGTTCCAGTTGAGTGTGGTAACAACTGTGAAAGACCAAAAGTCCAGAGAGGCCCCAACCCAGGCCTGGAGGCAGGGATATTTTCCGAAAAAGAAACAAACACGTGGCATTAAGTTGAATGTCTGTTTTCAGTAAGTGTATTATGTGAACCATCTCCCACATCTGAAACAGGAAATCACTTTTGTGTCGTCTTCATCCTCTGCTATTCAAGTGGGAAGCTTGCTCTCTTTCACCAGCTGCCCCCATCCTGGAGCAGTGCCCAGCACACAGTGGGTGCTCAGGAATCCTGTGCAATTACTAACTCTACCACCCTTCTGCATTTCTACATGACGGGGTCAAATCTTTATTCATACAAGTAATATTTTCACAAAGCATTATTATGGTATGCTTACAACTTTGGGTGCTCATCCATTTTATTTTTTTAAATGATAATTTTATTGCTGAGAAGGGAGTGGGAGAGAGAGATAGAAACTTCAGTGATGACAATGATTGGCTGACTCCTGCTCGCCCTCTACTAGGGATCAAGCCCACAACCCTGCCTTGTGCCCTTGACCAGAATGGAACCTGGGACTCTTTAATTCGCAGGCTGATGCTCCATCCAATGAACCAAACCAGCTAGTGCCATCTAGATATATATAAAAGCCTAATATGCTAAGTGTCCCCTCAGGAGTTTGATTGCTCTCTATGATGTGCGCTGACCACCAGAGGGCAGCGCGGAACAGAGGAAGGTCCCAGCTGGCAGCCAGCAGCCACTAGGGACCCTGCCCATGCACGAATTTTATGCACTGGGCCTCTAATTTTATATATTTTGAATATCTTTTCATGTTTCACTGTAGTTAGTGGTTGTGATTTTAAAGTTCACATCACCTTTCAGTCACTTCCTAGATTATAATTTACTTAATCGTGCCCTCTCTTTATATCTTTCTGTAGCATTTTATGTTATTGTTTCCAGCTTTATTGAGGTATAATTGCCTATGGTGTTTTACATTGTGATTTTTCCTCTCTGATGACAGGTGTCAGAGAGTGACCAAACTGCTTTCTAGAATTACCACTCCTCTCCAGAGTCACGTGTAAGGCTTTAGTGTAATTTAAAATAGCCCCCAAAGTAGAAAAGATTCAAAGACTCAGTTAGCAGGAAAATGGGAAAACTAATGGTAGTGTTTCTTTGCAATGAAATATTACTTAGCAATAAAAAGCAGTGAACTACGGACACGGGGAACAATATGAATGAATCTCAAAAACATAATGCTGGGCAAAAGAAGCCAGCCGTGGTCGAGCCTGTGCTGTCTGTTCTGTAGGGGTTCAGAACAAGCGCTCCAAGATGTGCCATTCAGCAGCGTCTTTTTACCTGAACACAAGCCGGGACCAGGAGGCTCAAGAAGAACCTTGAACCTTCCCCCTAACCGCCTAAAAGAACTGAGGACAGCCTGAGCCGGTTTGGCTCAGTGGATAGAGCATCGGCCTGTGGACTCAAGGGTCTTGGGTTCGATTCCAGTCAAGGGCAAGTACCCCAGTTTGCAGGCTCGATCCCCAGAAGGGGGCGTGAAGGGGGCAGCCGATCAATGATTCTCTCTCATGATTGATGTTTCTATCTCTCTCTCTCTCTCCCTTCCTCTCTGAAATCAATAAAAAATATATTTTTTAAAAAAGAATTGAGGATAGAGGACCTGCCCCAGGAAGGGAGCTATCATCTTGGAGAACTGGAATTATCTAGGGCGAACTGGAGACCCAAGCAAAGAGCAAGGTTTGGTCTTTCTTGTAACCTGCGTGCCTCTTGAAGCAAAACCACAGGCAGTGAGTGTGATACAGGACATGTATGGATTTGGTCTCTCCCTCTGTTTCCTGGCACAAATCTTCTAAAACCCTCTGAATATCTTTGTATGCTAATGAGATGGCAGGTGTCTGCGGCCTCCTGGATATCCTCAGGGTGGGAGCTGGTTACCAGGGGAACCAACCTGTGCGGAGAGGGCCTGCAAGCTCCCTGCTCCTCCCCAGACTTCGCTCTCTGCATCTCCTCTGACTGTTCCTGAGCTATAATATCCTTTCTCATACACCGGTGATCTAGGCAGTAAACTCCTCACCCTGAGTTCTGTGAGCTGTGGATTTTATAGGTTTAAATTGCCAAACTCGCAGGCAGGATCGATTAGAAGCACAGGTGACAACCAGCCTGGGGGGTTGGCCTCTGAGTGAAGAGTCTCGCAGGACTGAGCCCTTACCTGTGGGATCTGATGCTGACTCCGATGAATTGAATTGGAGGACACCCAGCTAGCATCCGGAGAGTCGGATCGCTTGGTGTGGGAGAGAGTCCACACTGTGAGCAGAGAGAAACTAATTTCCGCCTCTCCTCAGAAGGGATGTGTGCTCCTCACCCTCCTCACTGTTGTCAGGCTGCCCCTAGAGGCTCCGCTCTCCTCCCAACCTTCTGGCCCTTTAAATACAGTTCCTCATGTTGTGACCCAACCATAAAATTATTTCCGTTGCTACTTCATAACTGTAATGTTGCTACTGTTATGAATCGTAATGTAAATACCTGATATGCAGGATATATTTTCATTGTTACAAATTGAACATAATTAAAGCATAGTGATTAATCACAAAAACAAC